AAAAAAAAAAAAAAGAAAGTCCATGAGACTCATATCCAGTTAACAACCAAAAAACAAGAAGTGGGGCTTTGGCTCAAAGTGGTAGATCGCTAGCCTTGAGCACAAAAGCTCAGCAACAATATCCCGGCCCTGAGTTCAAGCCTCGGATCTGAAAAACAACAACTAAACCCCAAATGTGATGATGCCTTCATCAGACTGAATCTAAGGGGCACCAAGACATTGCTGGACACTTAAGAGTTAATTTCCTATGCAAGTATAGCCGGCATACAGAAAAACACATCAATATAAACATATATCCCCCTCCCCAACTTACTTGATCTCTCTTATAAGATATCAACTTCCAAAACTTTCAGGTATTGGAAACACGGCAGGCACTGAGTATATGGACTGGGAAAAGGGAATTCAGTTTTACTTCCAAATTCACCTACAGCTCACATGTTGTCTTCTACTCATTTGAGTGCCTATCTATGCTTAACTAGATACTCCCTGGGCCCCAGAGGATACAGCCAGTAACAAAGCTCTACCCAGCCTTCCCTGTTCTCCCAGAATTAACCTTTTCCTGCCCTGCCTTCTTTTGATTGCACTAGAGACAGCACAGGTGGAATGCAGGTGAAGGTCTTCTGATGAGTCTTGAAATTCTGACTACAGACCTAAATTTAAGAGGTCTATCAGTACTCTCTGGTTTTTTTCTTAATTAGCATACATTTAAATTAGTATACAAGGGGTCTCACTGTTACATTTTTACATATACATTCCTAATGTGTCTCCTTCTATCACTCTCCCTTGGAACAATTTCAACAGATTCCGTTATTCTGTTTTCATATATGCAAACAAAGTGTTTTGGCCATATTCCTTCTCATTCACATTCTCCCCCTCCCATCCCCCATTAGCCCAGTTTCATCCAGATGGTAATTCTAAGAGGCCAAGATCCAATTCTTGACCTGTCTACACATTACCAAATGGAGCAGTAATATCAGACATTTCGTATTATTCTCTTCTCGGACAAATGAAGGCTACCCTTTATCATTCACATTCAGGATTCTTACCTTTGACCCCTCTTCTGTCTCTGGCAAAGTGGTTTGCTTTTGGTTCCACAAAATGCTTTCAAGACTTCTAAATTTAGATAAAGTTGAAGCCCAGTCCTGATTCTGCAAGCGTGTACTGTAAATAGATAAAGATTTCTGCTAATCAGCAGAAATCCCATTGAAAATTCCTACTTTGGCTAATCTGCTTCAGAGCACATCGGTTCAGCTGTTCTTAGAGGAGAAAAAAGAATGCAGAAATCAAGGGTTAGTTGTAGGTAAATAGGAAGCAGAAGGGAGATCTGGTGTTCCCCAAGCTTATTAGCATCTGTCCAACCCTTCTTCTCTCCTTGCTTGTAATAACTTGCTATGTGACAATAATTCTCAGTAGCTTTCCTTTTAAAACTGTATTCTAACAGCATTCAGGAAGTGTAGTTTATTCACAAATATTTGTTTAAAAAATTTCTGATGGTAAGAACCAAGGGAGTGATGACTCTCTCTGCAGATTCATTACTCTACTCTTCATATATGCTAGAAAAATTTCCGCAGTTAAAACTGTGTGTGTTATGGTCTAATCAGAACCTTGTACTGTTGATTTACATTCAGTTGTGGGCAGTGTCAGATTTATGACTCCTAACCCAGGTTAAAAATAAAATAAGCAAGGTGGATGTGGTGGTGCAAACCTGTAATCTTGGTGCTTGGAAGGCAAAGGAAGAATGACCAAGAAGGAGTTCAAGGCCCGCTTGAGCTGTTTGTTTCAAAGTATCAAAAAATAAAATATTAATTCTAAATAAACAATTGACTGGAGGACTGTGAAACAGCACTTGGAAGCCCCTAAGGGATGGATGTTTTGCTAGGAATACATTTAAATGTGAGTTGCTTGGGAAACCGTAGTCCATTTGAAAGTGCTTACTGTGAAGGTACAAAGTACACAGATGCAATAAATATTTAACACCTGATAAGCATGAGGGAAATCCTGTGAGCCTAATTCAGCTGGATTAGGTCATTTCAAGACTAGGGTACTTTGCCCCCTCGGGGACAAAAGAGAAGGCTTTGGCCCCCATCTTAATTTCTCTGAGGATTCCTTTACTTCGTGACTGAGACCATGGTCACATTTACTCAAGCCTAATTTGGGTCCTCAGCCTACAGTTATTGTTAATAATCAAACATCGCTCTTGCCATGTTTGAGAAATGAAAATAACCACAGAAGACTCTTGTCATCCTCGGAGTAATCAATTTTCGGTTCCCATCAAGGACAGGTCTGCTGTTCATAGTCCTTCTCCCTCCCCTCCCCACTGAGCCTCCCATCTGCCAGCATATGCTAATGACAAAGCATACAAAGGCTCCTTCTCCCAGCCAGCCAACAAATGCCTCTTCTGTCTCAGCCAATCGGTTCTTCAGAATTGCCTCCTATATTTACATATGAGTCTTCATTTGTCCCCTTAATCACAAACTCTGAAGGAACCAGGACAGGAAGTATTTCTCAAGCTCTGTTTAGTATATACAATGAGAATAATAGTGGTGGTCCCAGACAAACTCACATGCCATAATTTATAGCCATGGGAATTTGCTGAACTTACTTAAATAGTATGGAAATATGCTAGCTTCTTACCTTCCCCTCCCCTCCCCCGCCACCCCAACTATACATACTTATATTGAAGACCCACTCTGTCTGGCATTGTGCTTAATGCTGGGGTTGAAAAAGTGTCATGGCTGGGCACCATTGGCTCACTACTGTAATCCTAACTACTCAGGAAGCTGAGATCTGAAGATTGTGGTTTCAAGCCAGCTGGGGAGAACAGTCCATGAGACTCATCTCCAAAACAGCACCTGAAAAATATTAGCCAGAAGCAGAGCTGAGTGGTAGAGCACTAGGCTTGAACAAACAAATAAACAAACAAAAAAAGAGCTTAGGGACCCAAATCCCAAGTTTAAAAAAAAAAGTCTGTGTTCTTATGGAAGCTTCATGTGTAATAGGGACTAGCTCTAGAGATTCATGCAACATTTATGCAAATAATCAGTGAGGGATTTGCTCTATAGAAGATGCATATGGTGCTGTGCTCTCTTCAGATAGGCTGAGAAAAGGCTGGCTGAGATGGGAGGGAGGGTGGAATGAATCAGGCAGAAAGCACAGCTTGTGCACACGCCTGCTGTTAGTGTTGAGGCTAGGCGAACTCTGGAGAGCAATAGGAACCCCCAGGTGCAAGCACAGAAGCAGAAGGTGGCAAGGAGAGCACTTGCTAGCCCTTCAAGCATCCCCATATACCGATGAACAAGGCACATGCAGTCTAGGTCATGTGTCAGGCCTGGTAAGGGGAATGTGGCCTGGATTTCAGGCCTCACCCCACAAGTCAGCCTCTTTTGCTTCTCAACACTAAAAAGGTGCTACTGAGGCAGGCAGGGCTTGTAGGATCGGTGAAGAATTCCATCTTAATTCTAAGATGGGTGTGTTCATGAGTGCAGTGAGCCCTCTGGCTGCTGAAGGACCTGCAGAGAAACCTCACCCATTTAGAGAACTGCAGCGTCAGTAAATATGCTGCCTGCTCCCACATCCACCTCCTTTCCTCGCGGTGAGTCAGACTTGCTTAGGAACCACACTTCAAAAATAGCTTTTGGGGTTGGAAAAGTAGAACTCAGTGCAAAGTTGCTTCTGCTTAGGGGGTCATTTCTCAACCTCTCAGGTTCCTGTTGGCACAAAGAAAGTTACCAGACATGCTCTGGAGGTGATCAGAAGATCGCGGCTTTGGTAGATTTTATTGCCACCTCTACAGCTGGTGGCCCTGGACGAACTTACCGACTTGTTCATTGCTTAGCTTGCTTGGATGTAAAATGAGGTAGCCTTTTAAAGTCCCTTAATGCTTTCCCCTACGATGCTGCAGCTGAATCATGCTGGCGAGTTTGGGACATGTGTCCACACCCCCATTTGCCATCTGTCCTTGTAATTGCATTCCCTTTGGAATTGATGGGGATGGAACTCAGGGCCTCTCACAACCTAGCCAAGTGCTCTACCCCTAAGCCACCCCCCCCACCTGTGGTCAGGTACTGAGGCTTTCCCATGGTGACCCCTGGTTCCCCAATTGCTTACTCAGGCTGGAAAAGGTAATACTGAATGGTAGAGGAAAATCCCTGAAGCTTTTTAACACATAGATTATAAAGAGAATCCAGAATCCCTGTTACAGCTGACACCTCTTTCTTGCCTTTTTTTTTTTTTCTATTTTCTACCCTAGATTCTTTGGATTATGTTTTTTCAATTCTCTGGGCCTTAGTCTTTCACTTGTGTAATGGGACTATATTGACTCATTGTTTAAGGCAGCTACAAAAGTTTGGGATGGAATGATAAATCTTTACCAACTGTGAATAGCTCCGTTAAAACTATTACCTATTACAGAACAGGGGTTAGGAATTTTTTTTTATTGGAAGGATGTATTTTATTTGTATGTTGATTCCTCTCACAATAGAAAACACCTTCTCACATAACAAGGTCATATACCCACCAAGAACAGAAAATCAAATGTTTCTCTTCTCTCCCATTTTCCCTCTGTTGTCAAGATTCTTCTATCATTTCTCGCTTCCTTTCCTTTTTCTTATCCACGGACTATCAGTAGAGTTTCTCACATGAAAGTTCAGTGTCTGACTTATCGAAACTTTATTCCAAAAAGTTTGAGGTTGTTTTGCCTAGGATCACTAATAACCCGACTGCTGGCTTCTTAAACAAGAACTGATTCCCAAATTCCCTCACTCACTGGAAAATGAAATCAATTCTGTCTTTGTATGCATGTGTGTATCAGTTTACTCCAAGTTCAAGTGAGTACTAGAGCATTGGTGGGGGAGCATTTGTTTACCATTTCTCAGAAGGAAACTACATTTAACCAAAACATGAAAGAAAATTTTCTCCCCTGGTAACACTTGTTAGTTTTTTTTTCCATCTTGGAAACGTGGCTCCTTTCTAATTATAGCTTGTGGTTGGGCTTGTTGTAATCCAAAACCAGTTCTATAGGAGTCCTTGTTCTGTTCTTTTGCTCTGAACATGAGCAGCAGGAACAGGTGGAAAGCACATTTGGAACTGCTGGAGTTAGGCCTAGATTTTTTGTTGTTGTTCTTTAGGCTGAACTTTTATTTAGACATTCAACTTAGATGTCTGCTGTATTGTCCAGTGAAAAACAGAAAAGACATGAATTTTATTACATGCTTCCTAAATTAGTATTCTAGAAAGAACTGAGCAAGATAGCTTTGATGCTTTGCTACCAACCGACTGTCTCCGATTTGCAGTTTATACACAGACATGCTCTTAAATGTTAATCCCCCATTCCGGTTCTCTATGTGTGAATCTTCATTTGTGCTTTGCTTCACAGCTCAGAAATGTTTGGGGGAGTTCTACATGGAAGGCAAGTCTGTCTTTCATCATTTAAAAATATCAGGTACTTTTATTCAAGTTACTTGTTCAAGTAACGCATGGACATGGGGGAAATGAGAACAGAAATAAAACAAATGAGAATAAATTTCCTGTAATGCGCCTAGCCAGTATAACTGCTTGATCGTTCAGTCTAATTTCTCTGGGAATCTTTTCTTTAGTGCTAAGAATGAGGTATACTGCTTGGGGAGTTTCTGGGCCTCTGTTGGTCTTGCTACCATCTGCTAAAGGGGATTGTTTATCTCCTCTTGCTTCTGCCCTTTTTTAGGTCTGTAAGGAAATGTTCTCTTGCCTAGATAGATTGTAAGGTTATCTCAGGAGACAAAGTAAAACAAAAATAAAACAAACTAACAAAATAAAATGCAAAAAATAGCCAAGCAGCCTGGCCCACCTATAATCCTAGCTACTCAGGAGGTTGAGATCTGAGGATGAGGTTCAAAGCCAGCCTGAGCAGGAAAGTCTTATCTCCAATCAACCACCAGAAAGCTGGAGGTGGAGCCACAGGTCCAGTATAGTGCACTAGCCTTGAGCAATATAGTTCAGGAACTGTTGTCTAGACCCTCAGTTCAAGTCCGAGGACTAGCGTGTACACACACACACACACACACACACACAGCCAGTCTAAGCAGACCCAGGTACTATAGAACTGAGAGGGAGAGAGGGAGAGAGGGAGGGAGGGCAGACAGATAGAAGAGCTGGGTGTTGAACAGAGCTTGGAGGGGGAAATGATCAAGGCAGACCCTCAGAATGAACAGGGAGCCAGGGCTGAGTTGAAGAAGCTGGAGAAGGAACAGCTTCTCCAACAGCCTGGGTACTTGCAATGGGTGAAAAGCATCTCAACTTTTGCAACTTAAGATTATATTTAACTCTGATGACAACTTCATTGAGGATCACAGTACAACCTACCATGTGCCAGAGCCCAGGACTATGAGCACATAGGAGGTAGTCTTTATGAAGCAGATTGGCCCCTTGGGTAGGGGTCACTCTGCTTGGGTGTGGTCTTACCTCCACCATTTCTAATCTCCACCATTTTTCTGAGTTTCTTCATTTGAGAAATGTGTTTCCTAAAGTTATGAGGAGTTCATGTTCCAGTTTAGTACTTAAACTAACTAAAATGTTTAGTACTTAATCATTGTGTTGACTCCTCTTCTTTCCCCTCCTGCAGCTCCTACTGATGAGCCAGTCTCTCTCTCTTTCTCGTACCCCAGGTTTCTGAGCCCCTTCAACATGATTCTTGGAGGAATTGTGGTGGTGCTGGTGTTCACAGGGTTTGTGTGGGCAGCCCACAATAAAGACATCCTCCGCCGAATGAAGAAGCAGTACCCCATGACGTTCGTGATGGCGGTCATGTTGGCTAGCTACTTCCTCATCTCCATGTTTGGGGGAGTCATGGTCTTCGTGTTTGGCATCACTTTTCCTTTGTTGTGTAAGTGATCTTTTGTCTTACATCACTAAGAAAAATGTAGGCACAACTTTCCTATGGGAATCGAATTAATCTGTCTGTTATGGGCAATGATATGTCTGCTACTGTGTCAGCTTTCTAAAACAACAGACCAAGGCCTAATAGTGTATTAATTCCACACACATGTCTGGGTACTTGCTATAGAAAACAAACAAGCAAATACCAAAACAACACAAAGACTCAGGAAATCAACAATACACAACTCATATGACTGGAACTGGGATAGCCTGCCTTAGATTCCAAATTGTTCTGATTCTAGAATCATTTCCCAATCTGTAAATGTCACTCTTACTGTACTGACACAGGACTGAAAATATTTGTCATTTACCTACCTCAGAAGAGCATAATCAGTGCTCAAAGGCAGCCAAGTCTGTGAGAATCATTGTCCCAGAGTGCAGTTGCCAAATACTGATTCTAGTGAACTGAACATTTTTCTCAGCTGCATGTGCCTTATTTACCAAGAACCCAAACACTTGGCCTGAAATAGAGGAGAGGTAAAATTCCAGTCTCATCTTATTCAAATTCCATTGTATCACATGATGGAAACATCCTTTTTACTTAAAATAGCATTTTACCTGTACATTTACTGTACTAAATAGACATTTGCTACTTGGGATTTTTGTCAGAGTAAGCCCAGCATATTCGCAGAAAAATCCTACATCTTGTTGTGCTAAATATTTGAACCTGTACATTCAGAGTTTTTGAAACGGTCTTCAAAAAGTTTCAATATCTGTTTAAACACCTCTGTATTAACGTTAGTACCTTCTACATAAGATCAGGGTGATGAAGTGGCAGATGGGTAAAGAGTCATGATTTCTATCCTAGATTTTTCTGGAGATTAGCATGCCTTGGACCAGTCATCCTAAAAGGGCTATAAAATATGGAGATTATAGACAAGATCAGTGCTTCTCAAAATTTGATCCATATGAGACTCCTCCAGGATGCCTTTATAAAAATATAAATTTGTCAGCCACCTCTCTTGTAATCTGGATTCTGTGGCTCAATACTGGTAACCCAAAGGACCTGTAGGTTTAGAAAGCTCCTCGAGTTACTGAGGGCCAGTGTGGACAGGGAACCTCCAGACAGGAACCGCATCAGTAATTTTCAAAACAAGGATCCAAAAATCAACCTGCGTCAGAATCATCCTAAGTGCTTATTTAAATGATAGCACCTAAAACCCCGCCTCAGTCTCAGCCTCAATTTAAGCTAGTGGAGAATGGGAATTTGCATATTTAATAAGTTCATCAGGTCCATGAGAATTGGACAACCATTGATGTAGATCAGAGGGTCTCATTTAAACCAGCACAGATTCCCAGAACCATGCTTCTTCCTTCTTTTTTTGGGAGGTGGGCAGAGAATTTCAAACTTAACAAGGGTTTCATGCTTGCTTAGCAGGCACTCTACCAGGTCTTTTTTTCTTATTTGAGATAGAGTCTCACTTTTATGTTTGGGACCAGTCTGGACTGTGATACTCCTATTTGTTCTTCCCTTTGTCACTGAAATGACAGGTGTGTGCCACAGGGCCCAGCTATTGTGCTTCTCCAATAGCTTGGGATGACAGGTGTGCATCACCACATCCAGCTATTGGTTGACATGGAGTACTGCCAACTTTCAAGCTCAGACTGGCCTTGAATCATGATCTCCCAATCCCTACCTTTCAATCAGCTAGGACTCCAGGTTTGAACTACTATCCCAGGATCCAGGCCTGTCCCTTGAAGGTTCTGGGTCAGGAAGTCCAGGAGAGGGGCCTAGAAATATGTTTCTTACTGAACAAATTGGGTAATTCCAAATGATCAACATTTTGGAAAACTGCCTCCTCAAAGATACTTAACAATGCTTGATAGGAAATGTACTCATTACCTTGCTCATGTAACCGTAACCCCTCTATACAGTATTTTTACAACAAAAACATAAAAAAAAGTAAGCTTTACTTGCATGCCTTCTGCAGGGAGCAAAATACAGATAATCTCTGACTTAAGCAAGCGTTCCTTTGCGGAAAACCTTGGGTAAGAGGATTACTATTTAGGTTGGAATCCCACTGGTTCACAGTGGATGTCATAACATTTAAGGAGCATCTGCAGTGTGCGAAGGAAAGAATGTGGCTGCCAAGTTTATGGCTGTGCCAGCTAGATGCCATGCTTTCCTCTGCACACAAAGATCTCTGTGTGTGACCTGATCTTCAGCTGTATGTAAAGTCCAAGCGATCGGGTGAAGACGGGTCGATGAGAGAAGCAAAGAAAGGAAGGGAGAAGAGTGTTGATATGGCAAAAGTGAGTTTCTGTTTTAACACGAACTGTGGGTCTCTTCTTCGCAGTGATGTTCATCCATGCATCCCTGAGACTCCGGAACCTCAAAAACAAGCTGGAGAATAAAATGGAAGGAATCGGTTTGAAGAGGACACCCATGGGCATTATCCTGGATGCCTTGGAACAGCAGGAAGAAAGCATCAACAAGATCACTGACTATATCAGCAAAGTAAAGGAATAAATGTAGTTTACCAGGCAATAGGGCTGCAGGAGAAATTGAGTTGCAGTCTGCCCTTACCCACACCTACTTTTCCTGTGTGTTTTGAAGTAGGAGGTGCACGTTTTACCACCCAACTATCTAAGGCAGCACGCATGTACAGGCCCAACTATTAACATCTGATGATATAGAAAAAAGGCCTCAGAAACTGAAAGGAAACCAGCCTCCCCTTGTGCCTGAAGTTTCCAGTGTGTTTTTGAAAGAGAATAATGGATTCTATAGCAACCATACTGTTCTCCCCTGGGGGGGGGAAAAGTCATTGTAAACCATCCAAGCAATATGAGTAAATGCTGAAGTATGAAGCTTATGATGTCATGTGTTGGCCTCTTTCTAATCCTCTCCTGCATCCTGTCCACAATTCCCAGGACTATGTAATATGTGGGATTAAAAATTAGTATAGATTCTGTTGTTATTCTTTTAAAATCAAAGATAAGATCTCTATCACTGTACCGCCTGTTTGAGGAACTGGATATACCAGTTGTTTATACTTTGTTTACAAATATGAAGACAGCTGTCTAGGAAGATATTTTGTGAAATTTTTGTAAATTTTTGAAATGCTAGTAATATGCGTTCACCAGCAGGTTTGTTGCAACATTAATGTTCTCTTTCTTAAAGGTTATAGTTATGTGATCTGCATTCTTGATTTGTTAAGAAACAAAAAAATAAATGAAACCAAAATTCAGTTCATCTTATATTTTTTTGTTGTTGCTATAGTGAAACAAAAAAGGTGTCTAAGATGATGGATTTTTTTTTGTTGTTTTTTTTGTTTTTTTTTGGGTCCGGTCATGGGGCCTGAACTCTGGGCCTGGGCACTGTCCCTCAGCTCTTCAGCTCAAGGCTAGCACTCCACCACTTGAGCCACAGCGCCACTTCCGGCTTTTTTCTTTTTGCTTATGTGGTGCTGAGGAATCGAACCCAGAGCCTCAGGCATGCAAGGCAAGTGCTCCACCACTGATACACCTTCCCAGCCTCGATGGTGGGTTTTTTTTTTTTTTTGTGCATTTCATTCTTTAGCTAGTACATTTAGAAAGAAATGGTTGTGTATCTTATTTTTATTGGTATATAATATATAAACCAAAAGCATGGTGACGTACAGCTATAATCCCACCTATACAGAGCTAGGAAACTCACAATCCAAGGCCAGCCTGTGAACAAAAGCACAAAATCCTATCTGAAAAACAAACTAAAAGGGCTTGGGGTGTGGCTCTTATGGTAGAGTACTTACTGCCAAGCATGAGGCCCTAAGTTCAAAGCCCAGTCATGATTTACAAGGGAGGGGCAAATTCTTCTACAGGTCAAAAATTTTTGTAGCAATTGTTAGAATTATATACTTTCATAGATATTAAAATTAAGAAAGTGTGGGTTTATTTTTATTACTTATATCCCTTTATTTCCCTGTGTGTTTAGAAGTAGGTTAAATATGCTTGCTTGCCACTTGGGTGAAGTAGAAGCATTTCGATTGGCGGTAATTACTAAAGAAACTGTATTACCTAGGAGAAAAGCAACAGGATTTATCAGTCCTTATTTTTGTACATTTTCTCAACCAACCTGCAGCTTTCATTTTTAGCATAGTGCTCTTACCATGGCATCCTACATGGACTAGAAAATGGAGAATAAACATGGACAATAAAATTTGTCAAGTGGGCAAAGACGTAAGGTTACAAGGTCTTGTTAATCAAAGGTATTATGGGTGAGAGTTTATTTGCTACACATCTGTGGAAATATCTGAGAAACTTAGTGAGTGTCCTAAACACTGACTACACAGTGATCAGCACACACACTTAGCTTGTGTTTCAAGTCTTCTATAATAAAGCCTTCATCCTTTATTAACAATTTTAAGGCAGTAGAAAATTGGGATCTTTTTTCTTAAAACACATTTTAGCTCCTCCTGTTTTCTATATGATATTCTGACCAAATATCATAACTTTGAAGAAAGCGACAGGTTGAACTTATTTAAAAAAAAAGATATCATTTCTAGTGGCCAATTCTGAAAAGATAAGAGAACAACAATGACATATAAGTTGTAAATTGACAGTACATTTGAAAAATAGGTTAAAATCTTCCACTAAGGTTTTTAGCGTGGGTATAGCAGATAGGAAGGACACTGTAAATCACAGGCCCTCTCTAGCTTAAACCTTGACAATAACCTCTGAAAGTGGATCCTTTCTTTCTTTCAGCTTAGGATCTGAATCCTCTTTCAGGACTATTAGAACATTGTGCAATTCCTTACTTAATGAATGCTGTGGCCAGCCAGGCAAATGCATAGGGCTTTCCAGAAAACCAAGTACTAATACGTACAGTGCAATGCGCTGTGAGAATACAGCCTCTTACATGTAGGAATGGCTAAATAATTTTAAAGTGTTATTTCTTATAGCCTGATCTCAACTAACAATCCCATTTCTATGTAAGAACGTTTTCTAGAAATAATGAAGAAGAAGAAAACAAGTCAGGTGCTGGTGGCTTGTGCCTGTAATCCTAGCTACTCAGAAGCCTAAGATCTGAGTTCAAAGCCAGCCAGAGCAGGAAAGTCTATGTGCCTCTTACTCCAATAAAGAACTCAGAAAAAGCTGGAAGTGGTGCTGTGCCTCAAGTGGTAGATCACTAGCCTTATTCAAGAGAAGTTCAGGGATAGCACCTGAGCTTCAAGCCCCAGGACTGGCAGAAAAAAAAAAAAAAGAAAGAATACAAAAATATCAGTTAGCTATTTTTAAATTATTGACTTGACTGAAAACCATAACTATTTTCTTCTTCTCCTAGAGAAACAGAAACAGAGTCTTTCTCAAAGCTTATTCCTGTAAATAATGTACTGCTTTAAGTTTGTGCTCCTGAGAGTCGTTTTCTCTCAGCCTGCTTTGCCTGCTCTATCACTGAGATTCTCTAAAAGAGGAAAGAAGGAAAACATGTTTTATTCACTCAGGTAAAGAAGAAAGAAGGTGCTATAATAGGATACAGTAATTCCTAGGTTCACATCGCTTCAAAAAGTGATGAACTTTTTTTGAGGTTTTATCCAATATCTCAAGTACTATGCACCTAGTGACTACAATGTATAACTAAGAGCTCTGGAACTTTAGGAGGAAAGAATATGGCTGGGAACTGTCAGAAAGGGTTTGGAGACCTTCATAAATGGAGGGTAAGAGGAGAGTGTTTTGGAGGTGTTCTGTGAAGGAGAGCAGAGGCTTGCGGTATGCGGAGGGATATGTTATTGAGGGTACACAGGACTTGTGGGGGCTAAGACTCGTTTCATACACTGGCAATTCATACCAGATTCACACCAGGCAACAGGGTGCCCTGAAGGTAGAGATACAGAGTTCAATCCTGTAGAACAGCTTCCTGTAGAGGGTTTTTGAGAACAAGGAGCTTGTATTAGACTCATGGATTTATAAACTCAATAAATATACATGTAGGTATATGTACACATGCAAGTGCATATAACTGTGTATAGATATAACACAACTTTTTAATAACTTTTTATTCTGCTATGTTTACCCTGCAAAACAGCATGCTGTCTTCCATTGTCCTCATGTATGGAAACACTGCCAGAAGTTCAGAAGATATAGGAAGGGCTTACTTTTTCTCATTACATTTTTTGGTTGACACTTGGGTTTTTCTGTGGCCTCTGTCTTAAGTTCTCTGTTCATCTTAGAGATCCCTAATCATAAGAATACTCTCCAAACCTCAAGGAAGTCTCCAAAGGAGGCAGGGTTCAAATGAACATCTCTACTCATTCTTCAAAGAAGAGTTCATCTCAAAGCCTTGCAAGGCCCAGGAGCTCAGTTAACTCTTCACATATCCATAGGCTACAACATGATTTACTCCCTTTAAAATACTGTGTGAAGAATTACAACAGAGGAAATGAAAGGAAAAAAGAGAGAGACAGAGAGACAGAGACAGAGAGAAAGAATACAATCAGTGATTACAGTGCTGCCACATTTATTGTCATTTACCAGAAGAAAGCAATAGTAAATGCTTTAAAATTTTGTTTCTCTTCTTCTGGAAGCTTAACTCCAAATAAATGTCACCCATCCCTCAAACTGACAGGAATAGAAAAAAGATATTGCCCATGAAAATGAATATTTTATCTCCTTCCTCTTCCCCGTGTATTTGTCAAGGCCCATCGTTCACAAATACCCATCTCAGATGTGAGACTGTTCCGAGGTCTGCCACCTGTTTCCAGAAGTGCTTCTGCTGGTAGCCTCCAACCCCTAACCCCAGAGTCACTGTTTGCCTTCTTGTTCTTCAGGATGATTCTGTTCCTGCCTACGCCAGTTCTTTTGGCAGTTGCACCTGTGATTTAAACATTCAAAGAAAAAAAGGGAAATTAATCTTTGGAAATTCAAGCACTCTTACAGCAAAAAATACTAAATTAACCTGCCTCAGTGGATGCAGAATGGATTAGAAACTCTGGCCAGAGAACCCTCCAAAGCCATTATCAAACAAAAACAACTTTGCTAGGTTGCTGATGGCTCATGCCTGTAAACCTAGCTGCTCAGGAAGCTGAGATCCAAGGATCACGATTAGAAGCCAGCCCAGGCAGGAAAGTCCATGAGACTCTTATCACTAATTAATTACCCAAAAGCCAGAAGTAGAACTGTGGCTCAAGCAGTAGAGCACTAGCCATGAGGAAATTAAAGAAGAAAAAAGAAAAAATCAGGACTAGCTCAAGCCCCAGGACCAGGAAAACAAAGCAAAACAAACCTTCTAGCCACAATTACTAGGCATTTTATGAATTTCCCCCAGGTCTTTGAGAACATGGGAAAACACATCACCAAATCAAGATGGTTGGCACTGCCATAGACCCAAGGGCTCACCTGCCAGTTGGGGTTGGACCTCCATTTTCTCAGCTAGAGAATGTCATTACCAGCAGCCAATTCCCAAGGGTAAACATTACCTTCACATTGAAAGTGAATCATCAATGTGAATACTTAAACTATGAATGGTTCATCTTGACAGTCAGTGTGAATGGCTTGGGACCCGCTAGAAGATCACTCAAGAGACAACTTGGTGGCTAGCTGTGAGGTGTTCCCACACAAAGTTCTAAGGTGGAATGGCCATCTTGAATGTGGACTGTGGAACCAAATGGAATAAAAGGTGGAGAGGGAGAAATCTAACCCTTTGCCAGCACCGGCAGGTATTCTCTCTGTTTCTTGGCTACCATGGGTGAACTTCATCTGCCCCGTTGTATTCTCCCTGCTACAAATACAGAGACCTCTGAAACCACGAATGGAAAGAAAGAAATCCTTCTTGAAGTTGTTCACACAGCAAGGAAAAGGTAGCCAACACACTCTGGGGGAAGAGAAATGTCTCAGAGAGACAGTAATTTCTCTAAGGCCACACCACTAGGAAGTGATAAAGCAAGATTTGAACCAGATCAGCCTGATTCTAGTACCTATTGTTACACACTGCCTGTAGAAACACACACACACACACACACACACACACGAAGAAGAATCAATGTTCCTTTACAAATAGGTCTTTCCTCTTTGAAGCATACTCTTACTTTGATGCTCAAATTTTAAAATAGTATTTGGTGAATGCTACAAGAGCCAAAAAATTACAACAGCATGGTGTAAGGCCAACTCTGCAAGTCCCCTTCCTACTTTTGTGTCACAAGAATGGCTTAAAGATAGGTGCTCCTAAAGGGTTCCAAGTGCTGTTATCTTAAGGGGTGGCCCACCCAACAAGTGTGTACCATCCACAAGAAGCTAAGGGAATACTTAAGGGTTTATTTAGCAACAACTACAGATGTTGCACCCATGTGCACCTGCCAGTGTGGTGAACCACGCTGTCTTTCTGCAATGGCTCTCTGTCATCCATTCTCCATTCATGCCCTTTGAATTGCCTCCTGCTCCCCAGAAGGGATCACTGATGTCCCCTTAAGCCAAAGGGTCCTTAATGTGCTTCTGACCCTGTCTGTTTCTTTTACCAGCCTTTGAGAAGAGGGTGTGATCATAGCTGGGTCAGGCTCACATTTGAAAAACACATAACTAAAAACAATCGCAGAAATTATCACAGGAACTTCAAATCACTTGAAAGGTGCAACCAGTAGCTAAAACTGTGATAATTGTTATCATGGATCTTTGCATTTGTTTCTATACACATTAAAGGATTTCTGAATAATAGAAAAAGGAACTTGTGACATTGAGCCTGTGTGGTAAACCAAGACACATGCCGTAATCCAGCTGGCAGCTCAGATAACTAGGCTGAAGAGAAATGAGCATGGGTTTAATTCATCAGTAATAGCAAATATTTCTTAAAAATCAAAAAGTATAAAAGTTCAAAGAAAAATGTATACTTAAATAGCCTTCAGAGAAGCCATTTCTAAGAAGAAGAAGAAAAATCAAGACAAAATATAAAGGGAACCAGGTGCCAGTGGCTCACATCTGTAATCCTAGCTATTCAGGAGGTTGTGACCGGAGGATTGCAGTTTGAGCCAGCCAGAGCCAGAAAGTCTGTGAGACTCTCCTCTCCAATTAGCACGTAGAAAGTCAGAAATGGAGCTGTGGCTCCAGTAATAGAGTGATAGCCTTGAGAAAAAGAAAAGAAAAGAAAAAGAAATCCTAAAGGACAATGCACTTGTCTTGAGTTCAAGCTCCAATACCACCACCACCACCAACAACAACAAAAAGAAATAAAAGAAAAACAAAAAAGACAGCTTCCCAGATGGAGAGCATCAACTCATGTTATCATTAGTTTTACCCTGTGCAACATTTAATTTAGTACACCAGTATCGAGCTCAGGGCCAGCCCCTTAGTGCTGTCCAGAACAGAGGTGAGGAAACTCTCTGGCTTGAGGAACTTACATCTGCCCTCAACCTGAAGCATGTGAGAGACACCATGGAAGAGATGTGGGAAAAGGAAAATGGGAATAGACAGCAAGAGAACTACTGATGGTTTGACTTGTTTCATGTAAAAAAGTAATATTTGAGGCAGATCTTGCACATTGGATAGATCTCAATAGACAGAAGACCAGACAACTTGGGGCAGAGGTGGTACAGGGACAGGAAAGCAAGGCCCTTCAAGGAAAATTGCAGGTGCTGTGGCTTGAGGAGTCAGGCCAAAGCTCTCAAGATAGCCTGCAAACAAGCAGCCTCAGACAGCATCGCTAGGTAACTGGTCAGAAATGCAGATTCTCGGGCCCCATCTAAGCCCTTGTGAAGCAAGACACTCTGAAGGACCATCCAGCAATCTGAATTAACTTCGAGAGTTATTACATAATACTTCAGAAAACTTGTGCATCGAAACCTTTCTCCCTGAATACTAGGGGAAGATAATTGCTGATTTATATTGTTCCTGGATTATATATAAATGCTCTTTTGACATAGCTTGCACTGTTACATTGCTTTGTTCTGTGGAATCTCCTTTTACAAGCAACTAGCATTTCCAAAATTGGGAATATTTGGTTTTTGCAGATTCTCCTGATTCCTGTTATTTCCACTGCCTTCTCCCCTTTTTGAATCACAAAAAGCAAGTTTTTTTTTTTTAAAGAAGGGTAATGCTAAGGTTTCAGGCTTGAATGCATGAAAGAAAATTGGGAAACAAATAACAAGTAGGTCTAAAACAGAAAAACTTGGTTTGAAACAGATTGGCTAAAGATATCAATGGGAAAGGGGAGTTGGGGATTGTTCTAGAGTATGTGTTATGGACACAAAAGGAGAAGATGGGAAAGAAAATAAAAAAGACAACAATCTAGAGAACTTCAAAAGAAGGAAGAACATATACATCAAGAAGAAATGGCCATAAATGAATATTTTAGACTATAACCATAAATTCTATAATTCTGGCAAACAACTAGTGCATTGTGGGGTCTTTTAGTGACCTAAGGATGCAAGATACCATTATGGTAAGGCCTTTCTAAGGAGAAGCTTACAAATGTCATTAACCCATTGGCGGAGAGCAGTCAGGACATAAGTGAGTACTTTGTGAATTACAGTGGATGTTTAAATGTCACTTTGTTTGGCAAAGAAACCTGGGTTTGCTATAGATGCTGTTGGTTCTGGGGAATTAAACAGTTACTACAAATAGGATTTTTATCTCAGTGCAAAGTACAAATAATCCTCTGGGCGTAGTAGATGAGTGAGAAACCACACATTTTCATGAGGTGAAAGATGTACAATTGTACCTTTTCCAGGGAGGCAGAAACTTATACAAGCCTTAAGTTTGCTGTGTCACTGATGGAAAGTAATTAGCTCAAAGGGAAATGAATTCAGTGTTACCTAATAAATTCACCTTTTTAGATGACAGCAAAACTAACGGCAAAGCAACACATTCCATAAAAACTAAATATGCAGATGAATGAAGTCAGACAGAGGGAGGGCTGAGGAGAAAGATTTTCAGAGGCAATTGCCTAGCTCACGGCTGGGAAGCCAATAGACAGAAGTAGCCAACTTGCCAGAGCTTGCTTAGTATACATGAGCCCCTAAAGTTGATTCTCAGCGTTGCCAAACAGCAACAAAGCAGCTGACTCTGTGATTCTGGTAATTCAAGTGGTGTTGAATATTTGGCTTTTTCTAACATGACATTTAAAATGTACACAGTAATGCCTAATCCAAGTGAAGTAGACCTATGTCTATATTTTCCCACACCTGGCCCACAGACGCTGCTACTCAAACCCAATGCTTCACACTGATAAGCACAACATCCATCTTGCAAGCGCCAGGAGATTGAGACTATACCTGGCTTGCTCTCTGGGGTAGCCCTGTCCTTTCTCACAAATGAGTAAGTGGAAGAATAGAAGACAATAGACTCAAGGAAAGCAGATCTGGCCAGTGGATCATTTCCTCTGAAATCAGAGAACTGGTTCTGATGGTCATTTGAATTCACTCCCTTTTCTACTCTGAATCCTCAGGTCACCTTTGACATGGATTGTTGTTTGTTTGTTTCAACATTGTCTTCAGCCTGTTATTTTCTGATTGCATAGCTACCAAGGCAGCCTGGATATTCTTTGCTAATGACTGGTTATGAAAGAAGTGATAGAGCTGGGTTCCTCAAAGCACCCTCCTCCACCCCCGTGGAGGACTGACTGCCTAGACAAGAGCAGGTGCATGCTGTCTTGATGCTGTGCCCAAGGGCAGGCAAAGGAGCCCTGTTTGACCTCATTCCACCCCTAGTGCTTCTAATGGGCACCTTTCCCAGGACCTATCTGACACCTCTGAATTACAGATGAAAGCCTTCTTAGATGGTATACTTGCAGATACCTTTATATATTCATATCTTAACAGATGCATGCATATGTATGTGAATAAGTAACAGAAAAGTGCAAGCTTGCATGAAAACTTGTTTACTCTCTCTTCAAAAAGAAATCTCTCTTTTCTATGATGAGATAATGTACTGACTATGCTAATGTCATCCCTTGGCTAAATTACACAATCTTTAAAAATAATATGGCTAAATAGCAATCAAGCTGCTTATGGATAGGCATCCTTCAGCCTCCAAAAATACCATCAGTATGACCGCCAAAAATTTTATTTTTGCAATTTAAGATGCAAGGAATCATAGTGAATATTACAACTGAAATAAGGGTATCCATTTAGAGTTGGAGATGTGGCTTAGTGGTAGACTGCTTGCCTAGCATGCATGAATCCTGGGTTTGATTTCTCTGTACCACATAAACAGAAAAGGCTGGAAGTGGTGCTATGGCTCAAATGGTAGAGAGCTAATCTTGAGCAAAAGAAGCTCAAGGACAGTGCCCAGGCCTTGAGCCAAGCCCCAGGACTGTCAAAACAAACAAACAAACAAACAAAAAAGCATGTGTTTAAGCAGGGCACTGGTGGCTCACACCTGTGATCCTAGCTACTCAGGAAGCTGAGATCTGAGGATCAAAGTTCAAAGCCAGCTCAGGCAGGAAGGTCTATGAGACTCATCTCCAATTAACTGCCAAAAACTAGAAGTGGAGCTGTGGCTTAAAGTGGTAGGGCAAGCCGGGCACCGGTGGCTCACACCTGTAATCCTAACTACTCAGGAGGCTAAGATCAGAGGATCTCAGTTCAAAGCCAGCCTGGGCAGGAAAGTCCTTGAGACTCTTATCTCCTTAACCACCAGAAAACCAGAAGTGGAGCTGTGGCTCAAGTGGTAGAACAGTCACCTTGAGCTGAAGACCTGAGGGACAGTGCCTAGGCCCAGAGTTCAAGCCCCAGGACCGACAAAAAAAAAAAAAGTGGTAGGACACTAGTCTTAAGCCAAAAGAGCTCAGGGACAGTGCCCAGACCCTAGTTCAAGACCCACAATCAATCAACCAACCAACCAACAAATAAATAACATTCCATTAATTCACAGAAATGCTGAGGTTCACCATCGATTTGTCTGCCTTGCTTAAAAAGTGAATAAGAGACATAATACTCATTTCATTATGTCAACTCATTAATTAGAAAAGAGTACTTTTCACTCAGTACTGTTGTCCTTTAAAATCTTACCTGGGGGGGGGAGGCTGGGAAGGGATGTGAAGGGTAAACAAAAGGAGGAGGCTGCAATGCTTGGTAAGAAATGTACGCATTATCCTGCCCATGTAATTGAAACCCCTCTGTACAGTATGTTCACAAATAAAATAAAATATAAAAAAATAAAATCTTACCTGGAAACATTATTTGCAAAAAACAAAATTGTCTGTATTAGATCTTCTTTTCTTTGCTCCCCGCCCCTTATTCTTAGACATTTGTTAAGTAAAAATACAAAGCAGCCTTTCCCCCTCCTTTCTTGAGTTGGACAGGGAGGACCTGGGGTAAGATTATGTTTACCAAGGCCAACAAGTGAGAATTAAGTTTACACTTTGTGACAATTTGAAAAAGAGAAAAGAGTGTCAATCTAATTGAGGGCAATCTCCTTTCACTACTAAAAAGAACCATCCTGAGCATTTTATATTTTGGTGGTTCTAGGGTTTGACTTCAGGGCTTTGGCCTTGACAGGCACTAGAATACTTGAGCTACACTCCCAGCTTTTTGCTTTAGTAGTTCCTTGAATAGGGTCTCACTTGGACTGCTATCCTCCTATTTATACCTCCCATGTATCTGGGACAATAGGCATGCTTCCCCTGCCCTCCTTCCACACATCCCCATTGGTAGAGAATAGTCTTCCAATTTTTTCTTCTTTTCTCTTTTCTTTCTTTTTTTTTTTTTGCCTAGGCTTAGTTCACCTTTTCATCCCTCTGATCTCTGCCTCCTGTGTAGCTAGGATTACAAGTATGGGCCACCACTTCTGTCTTAAGTAGGAACTTAAGCATTGGGTCTCTGATTCCCAGAGGCTAGAGATGTTATTTTATCTAGCACACTACAAATGAAGTTCAGAATAGTAGACTGATCTTGAACCCAGAACTTGGGTTCAATTGGGGTCCTACACCTTCTCAGCTGTAGCTCTTGAACATCTTAATAAAGTCTCTAAGGTTATCTCCCCTATACAAAATGAGGAACGTAATTGTCCCTAACTTATAGAATAAAGATGACTCCTACAATGACCCTGGCTTTATAAATGTTCTGTGCTCCATGAATGTTAACTACTGTTATTATTATTAGTATTACTATTATTATTATTATTTTGCCAGTCCTGGGGCTTTAACTCAAGGCTCAGGAGCTATCACCTGAGCTCTGATGCTCAAGGCTAGCACTCTACCACTTGAGCCACAGAACCACGTCAGGTTTTTTCTGAGTAGTTTACTGGAGATAAGAGTCTCACAGGCTTTAGTGTCCAGACTGCCTTCAAACCACGATCCTCAGATCTCAGCCTCCTGAGTAGCTAGAATTACAGGTATAGCTACCAGCACCCAGCAACTGCTGGTATTATTGTCACAGAAGCAACCCAGAGTGAATGTCTTTAGGGAACCCCAGTAATTTAGATCGATAGGTAATGCTCCCTAACTTCTCCCAGGTAGCCACAATCAGTATCTCCTTTTGTGTGTATGTGTGTGTGTGTGTGTGTCCTAGGGCTGGAATTCACATCTCCACTTTCAGCTTTTTGCCTGCTAAATATAAAAGTTTAGGTTTAAAAGTCTCTTGTATTTATCTGCCCCGGCTGGCTCTGAACCACAATAATCCTGAGAAGCTAGGATTATTCAAGTGCTCAGCTTAGTACCTCCTGGGGTTAAAATGAAGAGGGAACAACACACAGGGACTGTTTCTGTCTGGCCCTGTCCATCTTTTCTCCCTCTTTCTACTTACAGGTTTCAGATAGGCGATGTTGCTGTGGCGAATGTCATTTAGGAGCTGATCTCTGGGTGTGATTTCCACCAGTGGCGGTGGTCTGTTTCTGGGCACTGGTTTGAGTGTTTTGATCACATCTTTGAGGTTGGTTTTCTCAGGCTGTTCTCTGGCTTCTGGCATGCGAGATTTGCGCTGGATTCTCTTCAGTTTCACCACCCGGAAGGAGTCGGGGTCTGTCTGGTACTTTGGAGGCTGAGATGGGTTTTGCATCATTTCATTCCTTCGACCAAAGGGCATCGCTTGAGAACTAGGAGGGCGTCCAGGAGGAGCCTGGAGGAACTCTTGCATTCTGGAATCTGGCATGGGCCCACCTAACATCTCCCACATCCCAGGGGGCAGCCCTAGACCACTCTCCAACATGGCTATTAACTTCCTCTGCTCTCTCAGTTGCTGTTGCTTCTGTTCTTCTTGCCTTTTCTGCCTCCGTTTATCCTGATTTCTAGTGAGCAGGTTCGTCACCACCATTCGGGGACCAGGAAGCTCAAAATGGTAGCCCATCTTCAAGAGAGTATTGTTGGCCTTCAAGAGCCTCGAGATCTCCATTTCTGCATGGTGGCCCAGCATGTGCCTCTGGTTGTGGAAACGAAGCTCAGTGAGAGTCTCATTGAACTGGAGGCACCTCATGATGGCCACGATGCCTTTGCCAGTGATGAAGTTGGACTCGATGTTGAGCGTCGTGATGCTTCTATTCTCCCGCAACATGTTGGCCAAGGCAAAGGCCACATTCTCATCTGCACCCACGTTTGCTAAGCTGAACGTTTTGATGTGTTTGTTTTTCTTCATTGCATTGACAAAGTCCAGCAGCATGTCTTTGGGGATGTTTTCGATGTTGTTCAGGTTGAGTTCCTTCATGTCTGGGTCATTCTGTCTCACCCGTCTCAAGCTCCCATCCAGGTCCGTTTGATTTCCTGAAGGCCTTGCGCTTATCTTGAGAAAACTAGTGTCTAGAGCTAACTTCTTCGGATCTAATTTTGCTATTTTCTTCTCACTTTTTTCTTGGGCCTCAGGCCTGTCTTTTTGGTCGTCAAAGGCTTTCCTAGTGACTCTTTGGCTATTGCTCTCACCGTTGCGAGCTTGTACCTTTGCTTCGTTTTCTTTTTCTCTATTGGTTTTTCCATCACTCTCTTCACCATCATCTTCTCCATCATCGTCATCTTCTTCATCATCTTCATCATTATCATCATCATCATCCTTGTCTGTTTCTTGTACACTGTTGCTACCCTCTGATTCTCTTTTGTGTGCAACTAGTTCATTATTCAGTTTATCTTTTAAAAATCGGGGCACATTTTTAATACCTCTGTCTCTGTCTTCATGGCGTTCTTGAGTATTTTCCTAAAAGATGGATTTATGAGGGTTAGAGTATATAACAGTGAAAAGAGACAAAGCAGAGCAATATCTTATGGAGATTTTAAAAAATGTTGTAAGTGCTGGGAGCTTTGTGGTTCACACCTATAATCCTAGCTATTTAGAAGCTGACATCTGAGAATTCTGGCTCAAAGCCAGCCTAGGCAGACAAATCGGAGAGAATCACTAGTTAACGAGCTAAAAGCCTGAAGTGGAGGAACATCAGCCTTGAGCAAAACAGCTATGAGAGTGAACTAATAAATTGCACACATAGTGTTAGTTTGTGTGTATGTATACAAAAAGTTTATTTATGTATAAGGGGGAAAACCCATGTTGGAATGCTTACCAAACTTGTTATTTCTGAAGAGGAAAAGTAACTGCTAAGAAAACCCAGAAGAGGGGCTGGGTAGGTGGCTCAGTAGTAGAGCGCTTGCCTTGCATGCATGAGGCCCTGGGTTCGATTCCTCAGCACCACATAAGCAGAAAAAAAAAAAAGCCGGAAAACTCAGAAGAAAGGAATCACTTAAAAGATATTCACTTTTTTACACTATATAATTTTCACATTTTTATGCTTTCTTTAAAAAAATAAACTTATTGTAAACAAATGAAATGTCCATAGACATGCACACACATATTGTGCCTGTATTGATTTCATCTCATATATGGGTGTCCTTTGGTGTCCCTGGGGGATTGGCTCCAGAATCCCTGGGGATGCCTTCATTCAAGAGTACTCAAATCCCTCTTGGGCTTGTGTAGTATTTTGATATAACCTATACATTCTCCCACACGCAGTTACTTTCAATCATGTGTAGGTGATGTATAATAGCAAAAACAAGATAGATACATGTAAAATAGTTGGTATAGTGTTTAGGGAATAATGGTAAGTAAAGTCTTTACTCATTCATCACAAATGCAAAAATTAAAAAAAAAAAACCTAACTCTATCCACAGTTGATTGAATCCAAGGACACAAACGCTTCCAACTGCATTAAAATAAAACCTAATTTATGTTATTTTCAGAGCCCATATTTTTGAAAGGGTGCTCAGTTCTAGAAGCAGTTTACAAAAATACTTGCTTTAAAACTTGATGCAGCTTTTTTGTTGTTTGGGTTGTTTTTTTAAACTGTATGTATTTTTGTCTTTTCTTTTTTGGTACTGAGGAATCGAACCCAGGATGCTGCACTTGCTCAGCAAGCACTTTGCCACTGAGCTACATCCCAAGCCACGATGCAGCTTTTTAAATCAATATGTTGACACTTTTCTGTCATAGATAGTTGAGCTGGCATGCCTGCATTCAACAGCCCTGGCTTACACTATAATTTCCTTGTTGCTCTAAAAAAATTTACATGACTAAAATTTCTGCGAGTCCCATAGGAAAGCTATACCAAAATTTTTCCTGAGAAGTTAACAGACGTGAGAAAATGAAATAGTTTGATTGTTTGGAATATGGCTTGTTTTTGTGCTAGTCCTGGGGCTTGAACTGAGGGCCTGAGCAAGTCCCTGAGCTTTTTTGTTCAAGGTTAGAACTCTACCACTTGGGCCACAGCTCTACTTCTGTCTTTTTGAGTAGTTTATTGCAGATAAGAGTCTTATGGACTTTCCTGCCTGGGCTGCCTTGAACCATAATCCTTAGATGTCAGCCTCCTGAATAGCTAGGATTATAGTGTGAGCTGACACCCAGCTCCTCATTTCTTTTGAAGGATCAAGTACCCAAAAGAAAAATCTAGCTATAAAATGGAATAGGATCAGGTAGAGATTTAGAAATCACTGCTTTGTCTAGGAGAGAAAATATCAATCTTTAGTCAATGCTTATTAAATTCTTGTGCAATATTTATTACCCTTTCTCCATACGGCATATGTACCTCATAGGTGTCATTTTGAAAGCTAGTGTAGCAGTCTGAAAGTCAGACAAGAATGTGTGAGCCAACAGTTTCACCTTACTGCTCATGCGAGGTTAGAATTGGCTGTGACTTTCACTAAACTTCACCATTGCATTTCTCATCCTTACCAGCAGGAGGAGCCAATCACCCAGCTGCTTATACCAGAAGAAACAACTTTAAAAATATTCACTTTTTTCCCTTTCCTTCTAAATTCAGTGTTCCTATTGAATTGGCTGTATATCCATTAGCATTATTTGCAAAAGGTCTATAGTTGGTCTCTTAAGCTCTAACCTGATCAAGCCTATACTTCATTTTCTTGAGTTCAATTCATGTTGAAAGTCTCCCCACTATGAAACTAGTTTACCACCTACCTTAATTACACCTTGCATGATAGTTAAGGTAACAATGTACATCAACACCAACAGCAGGTGTAAGGGAAAGAGATTTTTTTACCTGGAAAGAAGGATTTAATCTTCTTTCTAGTTTGTTTTTAAGTCAAGCATTAAAACAATTGTGTTGATAGACAGTGTATTTGTAGAGCCAAAAGACCATTCAGTTGTTAGGTTAAAACAATTTCAAGACAAAAACACTGTCTTGACAATACCTTAATATCTGTCAGTTTCTAAATGTCATCATGGATACTCCGTGCATGGTGACACTATGACACATTTTCACTTAGTTGACTTAGCGTAGGCTCTGTGTGTGTGTGTGTGTGTGTGTGTATGTGAAATCTTTGATAATTGTACTTGAAATAGCAAATATATTTACACCTGCTAGGAAAAGGGCACATCTTCCATTAACTGTCATTAGCTTGCATGAGTTTTAAAGTTTCCTTATGAGCCAAGAAGAAAATAAAAAGAGTAACAACTGCTTCTGGGCGGTGACTTTAGTCACTAACTGTCCTGGTACTGACCCCAGGCCTACACCTGGCAAACCTGGCATCATTTACACAGATTCCCTCTATAAGAAATGACCAAGTTTCCCCTCCTACGATATCATGACTTTCAGAAAGGTCCAGTTTGGCATAGGATGAAATATTTATTATAGACTCCTAACAAACCATCACCATCTTGCAAAAATCACAGTTCCCATAAAGGCTCCCGACGGCTCGGTGCCCAGAAGCCATTTCTTTGCCACACACAGAACCCCGGTTGGTTACCTGAGCCTGCACAAAGGTGACAGGAACGCGCTCGTCTTCCAGCATTCGCCTAGATGCCTTTTGCCAATACATATAATCGATGAGAGATTTGTGGTCGAAGTTTCTGGTGGGTGGCTTGTCGGTCTGGTCTCTCTGAATCATGCTCGCAGGCAGGTGAGGGTCCGGGGCTATGACTTCCATTTCCGACTGCAGTTCCTTCAGCTCCTCGGGGGACAAGTTAGCCAAGACCTCATCTTCGTCGATCTCCTCACCAAGGGAATCTTCCAGATCAGAATTCCTGCTGTGCTCTGACATGATTATGAGTTGCTCTGTTGTTATAGTATCAGTAAAGAAGAAATAATGGAAGATGGCTTTTTTTTTAAGAGGAGGAAAACAGAATCTTAAGAAGATCCTTCTGTTGACAAGGAACTGAGGTCAACCCACCCTTGAAATTCTGCCCCCCCCAGGAGCCTCAGTGGTGTTCACTAAGCAGCTAGGAGAGACTACAGCTAAGCTTCTGCCGGATCTATATTAAGCAGGGCTTGGCTGGCCAGGGTCAGTTTATAGAATTACTATGCTGCTCTCTTTTTGGCAACTTGAGTCAGCTGTGCACATACTAGCTGACATTTTAGTACAGCTGCTTGTGCTTGCTTATGAATAACAGGTCTCGCAGGAAGAAAACTCACTCTCACTAACCACCTTCACATTGCCATACTTAACTTCATGAGGCCCAAGTTCTTCCCCCTTCTAACCCCCCCCCTCACCCCCTTCCTCTCCAAGAAACTCACTTCTCCTTGTCAACGGTGAAAACAACTTACAGTCTGTCAGCAACGAAATCCAGCCAGCAAAACCTCAGTGCTCTTTGGAGTGAAAACTTCACTTGAAGGTGGGAATCAGGGTTCCCTGGCTTTGCCTGATCACTTACAGAAAGAGACATGCTAGGTAATCCATCCTCTGTAACCTGGAGCTTTGCTGGATGTCCTTATCTGTGGCTAGATCCTGTGATAGTTGATGGATAACCGCCCTCCAGTTTCCATTATGACCAAGGAGTTGAATATTTTAAAAGATTTTTTTTCTTATTAAGTATCCATTAGGCCTGGGTAAATTAAAATGGAGCTGAAGTAAAATGTTGAAAAGCTCAAAGCACTAAAATACTAAAAGAAACCGTAAGAAGTTTATATATACACACACACATATGAAATACAGGTAGGAAATTAACTTTGTCAGTAAATCTTATTGTTTGCAAACTAGACTTTATAAATATTTATTCAGAGGTATATATTGACTTTATAAGTTATAGTAACAAAGAGGTATAGAAAGATAAATAATTTCCCTTATCTCACTGCTTATGACTAATATCTTGGTTTATCATTTCATCTTTTTTCTTTTCCTTCCTTTCTTCCTTCCCTTTCTCTTTTCTTCTTTCCTTCTTTCTTCTTTTTTCCTTCCTTCTTACCTCCTTTCCTCCTTCCATTCTTTTCCCTCCCTCCCTCCCTCCCTTCCTTTTTTCCTTCCTTCCTTCCTTCGTTCAGTCCTTCCCTCTTCTTTGCTGGGTGTTAAATTATGAGTTTACACTTGCTAGACAAGCATTCTACCACTTGAGCCATATCTCCAAAGCCTCTTTTAAGCCTTTTTTCCCCAGATTTTTCTCATGGTTTTGCCCAGGCCAGCCTCAGGTCATGATTCACCTAACCTCTGCCTCCTGAACATCTGGGTTTAAAGACATGCATGCACCTCTAGGACTCAGTCATTTCTTTTAGGCATATGAACTCTATCATCTTTTGTTCCCTGATCATTTTTGTTTTTATGCTGCTGGAGATGGAACCCATGGCCGTATGCATGAGAAACAAGTTCTGCACCACAGTTACATTTTCCAGCCATCATTCAAAGAAGGTTTGTCATTTTTTGACTGAGAAAAATCATGAAGTTTTTATAGGCAGTTACATATTTTACTACTATATAATTTTTTGGCAGTGCTGAGCTTTGAACTCAGGGCAATTGGCACTTGACCAATTGAGCCAATGCCTCCATCCTGGTTATTTTTGGAGACAATCTCTTGGACTTTTTTGCTCAGGCTGGCCTCAAACCAGATCGTAGCCTCCTGAGTAGTGAGGATTAGAGATGGGAGCTACCAGCATCTGGCTATATTCCACTACTAGGTAATTTTTAGTAGCTCCTTAAAAGGAGCTGTACCCTATAAACTGCATAAACTAGTTTATGTAATCAACACTTAGCTGTTCGATATTTACACTGCTTCCATTTTTCACAAGCATCAATAGTTCTTCAATAAACATTCTTGTTGCTAAATATTTGTATTTTAAGGTTACTTCCTTAGGATAAGTTGGATAAATGCCAGCAAGTGAAATTGCTGGGTCAAAGAACATGAAGAAAGCAAATACTTTTCATATGAATGGCTAAGTCTGCTTAATATTATTGCAATCCATCCCCAATATTCATGACATTATTTTTGTAAATTATGCACATGTTATTATTCCAATTGTGTGTGTGCATGTGTGTGTGTGTATGTGTGTGTCTTTCCATATTCTGTGCTTCTAGGGTTTAAAATGATTCAGGTGGGCTTAAGAACTAGTTCAGTGGTAGAGTACACACTGAGAATGCAATAGGCCCTAGATTTGGTTCCAGAACCACAAAAATAAAGATTTAGCTGAGTTTGTTGTTGTTACTGCTGGAGGAGGCTTGGGAAATATTATTTTCTGCTTTTGTGTTTTAAGCATTTGTAAATCTCATTTACTTTCAGAGATTCTAAGAAATCGACACTAAAGTAATCCATTTGTTTAGTCAAACATTCCCCACCTTTAATTAACTTCTGCTTCCCTCTCCCTTAGTCACCTACTAATTTCTGAGAAATTAACTATCTAAAAATCATCCCAATCCAATTATAAAGAAGGAACCCAGCCAGGTACCAGTGGATCACACGTGTGATCCTAGCTCCTCAGGAAGTTGAGATCTGACAATCGCTGTTTGAAGCCAGCCCTGACAGATAAATCCATTGATCAGCAAAAAGCCCGGTGGGATGTGTGGCTCAAATGATAAAGTGCCAACCTTGAGTGACAGTGAGGGTCCCTGAGTTCCAGCTCCAGGATCAGTACACACACACGCGCGCTCACACGCACACACACACACACACACACACAGAGAGAGAATGGAGAACTTGAAGTCAACTTGCCTTGATCCAGTCTCAGTTCCACTCCTTACTAGCAATATATTAAGTAACTTACTGGCAAATATGTAATAATAATATCCAATAGTATACAATTATGGGAAGAATAGAGCAATGTATACACATATAAATTAGGAAGGAAAGTACAGGCACAGATTAAGCCCCAATAAATATTAAACACTATTCTCTCATCTCAGAGATAACCATACAAACACTTAAAGAAAAATGAAAGCCACTGCAAAATTTAGTACATTTTAAAAAACTTTCCACAAAAAATACATATTAATGGCAGAAAAAAAGCTTTTACAGAAAGTATCCGAGAAGCTTCCAGATGAACTTGACTATAAACATAGAAAATTACCATTTGCATCTAAATAGAAAACGCTCTCCCCTCGAGAAATGTTCTAAATTATTGCTTGTAAACTTTCATTCAGATTCTGATTTTATCCTGATAAATTCCACTCGTTTTCATGGGATCATGAAAATGCCTGCTTCTACTGTGCTTCTTTCCCACCTGCTGCCAGAGAGGCTTGGCTGGTGCAAATGAGCCTCATTTGACATAGAGATGATTTCACTGTGTCTTAGCGATGCTCTATGCTGCTGCCTCGGCAGCTTCTCATAAGACTTCAACCCTGACCATAAAAGCAGGTGAAGGATCATTAGAGTACATCAGATCCAGATCACACATCACAGAGCACCCCACTTTGTAGCAGAAGCTCTAGAAGAAGTTCTAAAGTCGGTTGACTCTCTCAGTCCCATCCAGAAACTACTAAATCAGAATTCTCAGGTTTAGGTGGAGGAGTATCTCTGTGTGTCTGTGCCCTCTTCCCCCTCTTTTTCCCCCTGTCAAAGCCTTCCAGGTGATTCTTAGGAATGAATCATGTAACAATCTCAGAACCACCAACCAGCCATTCCTTTTGCAGCTTAGGCTTAGAGAGCTAAAGACATTCCATACTCCTTCCTTTAGGAATATTTGCTGAGCATCTCAGTCACACTGCTCATAACAGAGACAAATGGTTACTGTTTGCATTAAGGGCTAAGAAAATGGATGCTGAGGATCCAACAGGGAGAAAAGAATTATAGTACCTCAGAAGAGATATTGGAAAAGAGCACTATCAGATGGAACTCAACCATGTGCAAAGCACTTAGGACAGAAAGTGTAAAGACACAATCAGGCAGAGGCTTGGGGGCATTCTGGAATTTGACCTAAGGCTCTCATGACTGAACTGTGTTAGGCAGGAAGGTTAGGCAGGGTCTGATCCAGTAAGACTTTGTGGCTGGAGGTAAGGTGGATTTCATTCTTAGTGGCTGAGAATCATTAGGGAATTTTAGGCAAAATGTAACAGGACTGATACTTCTAGGAGATTCTTTGGCAATGGTCAGAAAACAGATTGAAGAGGTAGAGGACAGTCAAAACTAAACTTGGGAGGTAAGAGAAAACCCTTGTCTTCCTTCCGCCCTGCATGATCAAGACATTTCTGTGTTTGGATGATTCAAAGGTTCCCAGTGTGTTGCTATGTCAGCCACAAACAAAGCTGAAAAAGATGCTGGTACTATGCCAGTACTACCTTTCAGAGTCCTGATCTTTAGTGATTGCTGGGTTTTGGAGGACCCCTCCTCTCTCCTCCATTAAACACCCTGGGAAAGAGATGTGGGAATGGGGGTAAAGATCTGACAGGAGGTTGCTGCCAAAGAATTCTCACTAATCTCCACAGCTGAGAAATTCTAATATTTTTTTAATAAATTGGGGGAAAACTTCCATGTTTGGTGATTTGTTTCTAGCAAGGGATTAGTGTTAAATTATATGAATAACACGTTTGTATAGAAAGATAACATCTATACATATTTACATGAAAAGATATGAAGTATCTCTGGGAAGATGTGCAAAGAAATAGAGAGTTGGTTACTGAAAGGGAGAGAACGAGAAAGGTAGGTGGCAAAAGGACAGATTTAAGAAACGCTTTCCACTCAAGAGTCTGCCCTACAACACACACACACACACACACACACACATACATACATACACACACACACACACACACACACACACACACAAATCTAATTTTTCTCAACCATTAGAAAGAAAGATTATGTCATTTGCAGGGAAATGGTTGGACCTAGAACAAATCACATG